TTTAAATATTTCCCAAATGATAAGAAAGTCCTCACATCACTAAAACTAATCCATAAATGACATGCCCAAAAAGGAAGTCATGCATCAATTATAAACATTGCATTGACAATGAAACTAATTCTTGAATAGATCATTTGAGCCTTGAGCACTTTACAATATTCTAAGTTTGTAAGAGAATGATAATCCCTTACTTCATGATAAGTACTCGCTAACGCTCGTACTTATTCATGAAGAAAGGGATTATCATTCTCTTACATATACTAGGAAGGCCCTTAGGATTATCATACTATTATACTGGAGTGGCAGTTTTATTACAGGAAAGAGATAACAAAACAAAAACAAGTGCAAAATGGCGATAAAGAAACCCAATCTCAATGAAATGACCGAAATTATTTCTGTAAAAAAAAAACAAATTTGTCCTAAATCCCAATCTGACGTTTAGGACAAATAGCTTTCAGTTTAAAAAGTAGCTATCTGAGGAAACAATTTTCTTATCAGAATTCTGTTAAGAAAAGTAGCTATCTGAGGAAACAATTTTCATAAAATAAAGTGGAACTTTTCCTTAGTAATAGCTATTTGAATATGCATCGAAATAACCATAATTAAAATAATAAAAAAGAAGGAAAAAATGTTTTAACGAATAAGAGAGTCTTATATGACTTTCTTCTGTTGAGGATTTTTTTTATTTTGGTCGTTGTTGAGCTTTTCTCCTGTTTCGTAGCACGTTCAAATAAACTACTTATTTCCGACAGTATACAAATATTTTTTGTCCTGCAATTTACCCCATCACTTTAACGTTTAGTTTTTGATTTCCAAATCGTTGTCTCTGATTTTGATTGGAATCAACATGGACGAAGGGGACCCCAAAATGTAAAAAAATATTAACGTTTCCGTTTGTTCAAGATGAAAGCCAAATAACAAAAGACTTTATTTGTACAAGTACTAACAATGCAATACTTTATTTGTATGTAAACTAGTGCCTGTTATTTGTACAATAGTTGGCTGATTGCAGAATAAAAAATTACTAATTAAGCGCTCTTTTTTTTTTTATAGTTCAGTGATAATTTCATTGATCACGTCTTTATACCTAGCTGGATGGAGAATGCCATTACCTTTTTGGACAAGACACCGAGGATTTCACATCGTCAGATATCCATTACAACAAGTTCTATCTGTATGTAATTCTTATATCATATTATTTGCATATCTACAAATATTTGAATGTGATTGGTTTGTTTGAATTTTTTTCCGTTGGCGGTTTTTTTACTTCGACAAACCATATGTTACCGAAACTACTTGACCTTTGTTACCTACAATGTACATGTATGTACTCACTATTTAGAAATATATTCATGCGCGAAACAAATGAATGAAATCGGCTACCAAGAAAGTTGAAACTGAATGGGAAAATAACATATGTTTGGGTTGAGAATGATAAGGATTTTTAAAACGCTTTTTTCAAGAAGTAATTTGATTATAAATTCAGATAAAGGTTCATAATTCATAATTTACATTCTTTCGTGAAGTCGTGTCTGCTCCTCTTTGGTTGTTGAGTTGACAATTTCAATACAATATGTAATCTGTCAAACAGCCGAGTGTTAAAACATTAATTTGATGCAATCTTTGTATAGTTTTTTTCATCATTCATTTATGTTAATAACCGAAGAGTCCAAGTAATGATATTTGGAGCTTGATATATGATAAATGAATATACGTTTTACAAGTATCACTCCAAGCGTTTGCTTACCAGCCCTCCCTTTAACAAACCCTGGATCCGCTACTGTGTATTCTACTTGTCACAGTGTGTTGTGTGCTTTCGTCTCAAGGTTACTTGTTAGACAAAGAAAGTAATGTTTCGATTGCTTCCTCTGTCATATCTCATCCACGCTGTAAATATAGTCTTTTACATATGCAGATGTTGATCGCAATATTGGTAGGATGGGGCATTGCTGCAATATTTACATCAGCAGGAGTCCTATCAAATGATAAAACCCAGAAACAGTATGAAGCCAGGACAGATGCTAGGAGTTATGTTATCGAAACAACGCCTTGGTTTTATTTGCCCTATCCAGGTACATCAAAAACACACATTGTCATATGTTAGGGAGCTACCATTTGATTTTTATGGGGGGCTAGGATGAAAAATTTTGTCCTGCATTTTTTTTAGTTGTAATCTCTGTCCTGGCTTTTTATTTTTCACTCTATTCGATCCTGCCTTTTTTTATTTGTTTATCCTGCCTTTTTTTACATAAATTGTCATCCTGCCTTTTTTTTTTTGCAAAGTTGCTCATCCTGCCTTTTTTTTTAACTCCAAACTCCTGTCCTGCCCTTTTTTTCAAATTTCATCCTAGACCCCACATAAAAATCAAATAGTAGCTTCCTTAATGAAATAAAAAAAAAAAAGATAAGAACTTAAAAAGGTAAGTTCCAAGAGTGAAGTAATAAGTCGAAAAAGGACAATCAGCACCATGATGAGGAGACAAAAAAAAAGAAAGATAAAAACATCGCACAGAAAACGGAAGATTGCACAAGAGCCTGTGGTGAACACTGCTTTTCTGGGAGGGTAAGCAGCTCCAACTCTAATAGTGACACCAGTGAAAGTAATTTAAGGATAACTCTTGCATACCTTCAAGAAATTATGCAGTGAAACCAACGTTAAGTATGGATTATACAATGTGTCTGTGCACTATGTTATCGCGGACTTAGATCTTTAGATACCAGAAAAGTCGTCTTATCTGTAATTTTAGCGATTTCCTCCTATGCCGATTGTGACATTTTGACTGATGCTGCGTTCACACGTAATTCGAATTCGATTCGCATTAACTAATTTGAATTAGTTTAATTCGCATTCGAAACGTTTAACGTCCAAACGTAAATTCTAATTCGAATTGCAATGCGCGTCAAATTCGCTTTACTGTCCTAACGACGTTAACTTTTAATTCGTATTAACAAAAACGCATTTCTAATGCGAATTGGATAATGCGATTTAGCCAATTCGAATCAATTCGAATTAAAAAAGAAGAGTGTGTGAACGCGATTAGCGAATTCGATTCGCATTCGATTCGAATTCAATTCGAATTAAATGTACGTGTGAACGAGGCATGAGTCTGGAATCGCATGGCGGGTGATGCAGAAAATATGAAACGTTTGTCCTGCCGACGCTCCCGGTCTCGCTCCTTTGTAGTTCAAGCGATTCCCTCAAATTTTTTTTGTTTTTCACCTTGATTTTTGTCATCTTAATATATTCATGAGATTTGAACATCGGTAAACTACTGTTGCCTAAAATTAATCTAATTGTACGATGTGATTTAATTTTACCAAAAGCTGTCAACATAAATAACAAAAATTAATACTGCATGCTCCAGTAATATATTGCGCACCATGGGAATGTTATCTGATGTATATTAATCGATATCGTATATTGCTTTTTAGAAATTAAAGAAATACATTTTTAGAACAAGTCGGAGGATAAGACCTGCCTTTTCTTTGTTGATAATTTGCCCGAATCAAAACTATATTATGTATGGCAAGCCGTTCTCGTCAAAACTATGTTTAAACCATTTTTCGAAAAATTTACACACTGAGATTAAAAACATTAAAACACACACTGAGAATTAAAAATTACACACTGAGATTTCATAAAGACGCTCTGAGATTACCTAAAAAATAATTACATTAGATGTATGTTTCATTATAATACGTTATTCTGATTGGCTAACTGCAAGCTCGCGTTATTCCTTAAGCAACTTCATTACACAATGAAATTTATCATTCATGATGACACGAGGTTCCAGAATAAAGTGCACAGGTAAATTAAATAAAAACTTGATAAAAATCGTGTTTTCATGATCCTATATAAAAAATGTAATTATAAGTATTGAATGCTTCTTTTTGTAACTTCACAGGGTTGTAAAAGCGTTGAGCGTGCGCACATTTTTAGAATGAAGCGCTTCCGCGCTTCATACAAAATGTACTTCGGTCAACGCTTTTACACCCAGATGAAGTTACAAAAAGAAGCATTCAAATCTTAAATGAAAAACACACACTGAGAATTGAAAATTACACACTGAGATTTCAAAAAGACACACTGAGATGAAATAAAGTGAAAAACACACACTGAGAATGTGAAATTACACACTGAGAATTTAAAATTACACACTGAGATTTGTGCGCACTTTTATGCGCACATATCTAATTAGCATACTTAATCTGAATCTATTTCAAGCTTAAAACTACTAGGGAACAGAACTCGTACGTTAGTCCTTCAATTTGGAGCCAAATGTTTTATAAAAAATATTAGAAATACAACGTAAAGAAAAAGTTCGTTATCAAAGACCAATTGAACAAGAAAAATACCCACTTACTCTCATTACAAAATATAACCAAATGGTGAAAAACTTTATTAAAATTATAAGAAAACATTGGAATAATCTGCAAAAAGACAAACAATGCAGTGAAATTTTTACTCAAGTGCCTATTATAGCTTATAAACGTAACAAAAATATAAAAGATTACCTTGCGAAATCAGGGTAATAGTTGAAAGACTTTTGAAAAGGGACCCATGCTTAAACAGTTATAAGCAAAAAATCCCGATACGCTGTTAGTAATAATCTAAATTATAGGCAACAAACTTTTCATTTTTTTAAATCTCAGTGTGTAATTTTAGAATCTCAGTTTGTAATTTCGATTTCTCAGTGTGTTATTTTAGGTTTTTAAATCTCAGTGTGTTTTTTTTTTTAATTCTCAGTATGTATTTTTTTCGAAAAAGGGTTTAAACATTGTTTTGACGAGAACTGCTTCCCATAATTATGCCTTAAAATTCCACATTGTCAATTTTGCTTTTAAGAACCTTTAGTATTCATAATGCGATCTTAAAGTTCTTATTTCTTCCAGGACAATTTGGTGGCATAGGTTTTAATTCTGGAATTTTTGTTGCATACCTAACTGCAACATTTACATCGGTAGTAGACTCCATTGCAGATTATTACGCATGCGCCAAAATGTCGCATATTCCTCCACCACCTGTGCATGCAGTAAATCGAGGAATCAGTGTAGAAGGAATTATGTGTGCTGTTTCCGGAATTTTCGGATCCGGACATGGAACAACGACATTTGGATCTCACATCGGCTGTATTGGTATAACACGGGTATTGGCTTTGATAAGGCTTCCATTTTGACGACCATTAAAAACATTGTGTTCATTTTTATAAACGATAATTTAAGTTTGATAAAAGATAAATTACGTAAATTGAGTAGGGATAGTGAATCATACTTGGACAGTTTGTACATGGATATCGTAAAAAAAAGATAACACGAAATTGTGTATGGAACTACAACATCAAGAACTGTATCTGTATATCGAAAAATGATATATCTATCTAACTATTTATATTATACTATTTTATATAACTGTTGGTTAATTCATATTCACAATAGGTATGCTAATATACGGAAGCATGTGAAATATCTTGAAAAGATAGATACATGTGAAGTCACATGAAGTTCAATCTAATTAAAATATAGATAACCGATTTTGTTATGCTCATACGAGACGAGAAAACGAATTACGATATATATCTGAATTGTTCTCATTGTTGAAGGCCGTACGGTTGCCTATAATTGCTTACATCCACTTCATTTGAACTTGTGTGGATAGTTGTCTCATTGGCTCCTTATTTTTAATTTAATCAGATTGCATAAAGTTTTGATTTCACGAAAAGTTTTCCAAATACTGTACTATAATAATGATACAATTACGTAAATGCGGCAGACATTTTTACTTCTTACATTTATAAGATGTTGTGACACTATTTTTCTCTCGTACAATGTTTTACAGCGTTGATGAGATAGAACTTATTCTAAAGGAGCGAGTCGTATTGCGTTTCCTCTCTGTAAACCAGTATATAAAACAGCTGAAGAAACTTCACATTTTTTTTTTTGCATTAGAATTAATCGCTAAAATTAGAGGCAACAACAGATTTGAAAAGTGTTTAAAGAATTTTCTTGTCATCTGAAGCATTAGTCACATTTTATTTATTTTCATCAATGTTCAATAATTTTTTTTCTCATTTATCACAAGAAGGGAAAAGTTACATGTATCATACTACCGATTTTCAATGAGTGTCCATTCTGCGCTATAGCTGCCTCCACATTTATGCAGATCTTAAAGATATCATTATATCTATTTATCCTGCAATCAGACAAATATTGTGCAAATAACAGGTACGCAAATATTTTTTTGCATTTTAACTAAGATAAAGTCTCCTATTACTCCGCTTCCATATTGAGTGTGACCATTCATTTTTGGATCCTCTTCGCGGTCCGCGTTTATATTATGTCAATTTCTTTGAAAAAATCAGAGACAACTATTTAGATTTAAACAACTAAACCGGATTTAAATTGCAGGATAAAATCAATATATGTACATTGTCGGAAATGTGTTTATAAACAATATAATATAAAACTTCAGATATGAAAAGACTATATCTTTTACTTATATTCCGGATGGATTTTTATTTTGTAGGTTGCCAGCCGTTTTGTATATCAGGTATTTGCTTTGATGTTGATAATTTGTGCGATAGTTGGTAAATTTGCTGCTGTGTTTATAACGATACCTTATCCAGTATTAGGAGGGGTGCAAGTATTAGGATTCGGCATGTTTATAGGATTAATCATGTCAAATGTACAGTACATAGACATAAATTCAAATAGGAATTTGGCTATTATTGGCATTGCCATAATGATTGGATTAATGATACCGTACTGGGCTTCAAATAATATGGATACTATAAAAACAGGTGAGATAGTGCAGCTCTCATACATAGCGTTAACGCATTACTTTGGTTATATAAAAATAAGAAGATGTAGCATTACTGTCAATGAGACAACTCTCTACTAGAGACCAAATGACATAGAATTTAACAACTATAGATGTGAACTTTTAAAAAGGTATAATAGCCAATTTCATTGAATTCTGTTTCACTCACGGAGTCAAAATCCTAAACTTGAGAAAATATGAGAAAATTGATTCTCAGAACCTAAATGTTCTTTTGAAGATTTTTACACGATTTTACAGTCATAAAACAAAAAACAAAAAAATCAGCGCTATACATTTCTGTCGAAAACAATTCGGGTACTGCAGATCATGTGTATGTCTTTTTTGAATTTTCATTGAATGACATCAGACCTAAATTAAAATATATTTTTCCTTAAAGGTATATAGTATACAAATTGACCAACAATTGAAATCTATTTTTGGTTTAGAATATCCTTTTTATTCTCATCTTGGATAAACACTGTTAAAATTGTTTCTCATTGCAATATTTAGAAATACACCATAAAGTTGTTATAGCTGTGATTCGGTGAATTTTAATTTTAAGAATGAAAGATGTTTAGATTATGGCCTTCCCTTAATGTGCAATAAATGCTTGAGAAATTGACCATAAATTCTGACAGCTGGAAATATAAATGTAAAAAAAAAATTTCCTAAAGTTTCTTTTTTTTTCTTCAGGGATTCCAGAGCTTGATGGATTTCTGAAAATGATACTGAGCAATCCTAATCTTTCTGGTGGATTTACAGCATGTTTCCTTGACAACACAGTTCCTGGTCAGTATTAGTGACTGGATGGGGTCCTTCATTTTCTTTTTTTTAACGTTTTATACCAATTTTCTTTATTTGTATATTTTGACCATCGTTTTCTATTTGTTATATTTCAGCACCCGGTTATTCTATATTCTTTATTATTTTGGCCTATTTTCCTGTATTCTTTATAATTTTAGTCCTTTATTCTGCATTTATCCCCATTATTCTCTTTTCTGTAAACCCAATCCAGACCCTTAAATATAGTTCTTTACGAAAAACATTAAACAAAACGCATCAATTCGTAATTGTTTGGACAAGAGCGCAGTGCGCGCAACCAACATGAAGAGAATTTCTCATTACAGTATAACTATAGAAAATAAAATAATATCAAAATAAGGAGATATGGTATAATTGCCAATGAGATAACTATCTACCTGCTACCAAAAGGACGAGGAAGTAAACAATAATAGGTCACTATACGGCCTTCAACAATGAGCAAAATAAAAACCGTCTGGTAAGCTATAAAAAGACCGGAAAATGTAAGATTCATCCCTTCACAATCTATAAGATGCAACATGTACTTATTGTCCACGTTGAACTTCGGTGTTGGTACTAAACAAACACGATAACGGTTCTGTCTGTGGTAAACTTTTCTTAAGATATTCGTCGAAGCAAAGATGGAAAGAAAACAACACCAAAATGGATATCATAAAACTTAATGGAACTAACTTGTTGTCTGTTGGTTCTTGTACCTAACTTTCTGTTGAAATGTAAATATTAATTAATGCCATTGTCTTAAACCTAATTGTTAAGTGGAAGACACGATAACCGCAAACTAACAACTCACATCAACAAAAGAAAGTAATATAACTTTTATATAAAAAAATCGTTCTTACCTAAAAAGTTAGTCCTATCTATGAAAATACCTGACTGTTTTGATTTGTTTGGCACGTTATCACATGTACTGCAAGAGAGATAATCATTTTAATAGATAATCACACGACTAATCTTGAGCCTTTTCTTCATGTCTTTTTTTAATAGCCGTCAAACAAATCGAGATAACGGACAAGTAAATCGAATTAACGAACAAGCAAATCGATATAAGAAACAAACCAATCGATATAACGCATTAATAAATTAAGATGATGAAGTGTATTCAAAACGAAATAACAAATAATAAATCGTGACAACGACTTAATATATATCGAGATAATGGATAACTTTCTAAACAGTACTTGTGAAAACGTACCTACACAAAATAAGTGTCCCTTTAGTTTTTAGTAAAGGTTCTATTTGTCATACTTTGTTGAAAATTCATATCTTACGACAGGATTTTTCTCCGAGGTTATTATTCGCCCAATATAGTCAATGTTTGTGAGGTGCATTCGTTTATTAAGATTATTTGGGAGTATAAATAAAAAAAATTGCAGCCACCATCTTGGATCGCAAATTATCGGTTTAATTTCAATATGAAATTGTATGAATTATTGTCTGAATGATGACTTGCAAAAATTGCATTAGCTTATTTTAATTTAAGGAACTAAAAAAGAGAGAGGCCTGGTGGGCTGGGGTACAGAAGGGATAGCAGAAGTGAGTGAGGAACCATTAGGAGACATAGAAGATACAATGGAGGTTTATGAGATACCCGTCCTCACTCGCGTTCTTGAAAAAATATCTTTCACGAGATTTATTCCATTTTCTCCAACATTTAGGAGACGGAAACAAAAGTGACTGATCGTAGCATATTAAACTAAAATGGCTTTTTTTAGACAATTTAAAAAGAACATGGGAAGTATAAAATACTTACGAAAAATTAAGAAAGGATTTTAAAAGCCACACAAATATTATTTATTGTATTCGATGCCTGAATATTAAGATGTCTTTGTCTTGTATTAATATAATCTCTAGTTTAGTTTATTTTCAATTTTTATTGGACATTTATATAGTCTTTCTTCAATATGCAGCAGTGCGGAAATATATTTGATTTTTTATGCATGTAGTGACGTATTCTTTCTGAATATGCAGTATTTTTAAAGATTTTACAAAACATATTTCAGGACTGTGATTTGATGTTTCTTTGTTATTTTCTAACTTAATGCTGAAAATATGGATCTCTGATTTTGTTCTTGTTATTTTTAACCTAGTTTTCCAATAATCGTATACTATAGGAGTGTACGATCTAAAAAACTGTAACTAATTTAATGAGCCATAGTTTGTTAAAAGCACGTGCAAACCAGGAGCAATTGACCAAGAAAGTAGTTTTGTAAATATTGGTCATGATGACCCCATAAATTTTAAAATCCAAGAGTTGTCCGAGTTTTAGATATAGGCCATCGGTGGACTTTTCCAGTTTGTTAGTAAAAATCCCAACTTAAGCAAGGCGTCTGTTTAACTGTGTAGAATGTATAAATATGCATCAGATTTCGGCACGAATTGGAAAGTTACATGAGGCGGGATGAGTGCAACTGCTCTCCTTACGTTAAAAAACTCTGCAAAAACTCTCTGAGGGGTCCATAGGTGGCCTTTTTTAAGGGAAATTGTCTGCTCTTATCCAACACAACCTCATTTTCCAGTGGCAATCCAATTTGTAAGCCATGGATAGAGGTCAACCTGCGTTTCAGAACGAACTAAATGGATTAATCGTTAACTTGTTCCTTCATTTATAGGAAATTCAATACCTGCTGCTGAACATTAAGCAAACAACCAATCAATTACAATTCTACATTGACACAAACGCTTAGGGGCCACTTCAATACTTAATTGATAGGGGTGCCGCTGGGATTCTGTTACCCAACCCTTTTCATATAATGTAGATCTTAGAAATGTATACCTTTTCATATATTCCGTAGTTAAAAATGTAACCTTTTCACATATTGGTGGGTTTCGTGTAGCGTGTTGGAAAAGTAGAAAATAACAGACTCAGATTCCTTATGTTATGTTTAATTACTGCGAGAATTTCGGCTGTGAACAAAAGTACAGGGCTTTTCATATAACAAGTAATTGGAACTTTATTGTCCTTATCATAGTTTTCCCCACCTATTCACATATTTTCAAGCTGGAAAATGTGACCTATTCCAGTGGCACGTCCTATCACCTTGTAAATATGAAGTGCCCCCCCCCCCCCTCCTTCCCACCCCGAGCACAAACCGTTGTCGGGTAATTTAATCAAGAGCGCGTTAGCGCAAGGATATGTTGACTTTCGGACTTCGAATCGTTGAGATGACCTAAAACTCAAAAGACAGTACCGATTCAGTTCTGGACATTGTACTCACATTCGAAGATAACCTGGAGGTGTATATATATATATATTGATTGATTGTTGTTTGCTTTACGTCCAGTGGCAAATACGTCATGCATATTCAGGACTTGTATGTATATAGACAAACGGTAATTGCATGTACAATATAGGTGTACCTACACATCGGAATTCAAACAAGACGACTATACAGAAATATTGTACATCTAACATCAACACCATTTTCTTGAATAAAAAGTACAAATTAAGGATTATCATCTGACAAAACATCTGATTAGACAAAAATTGAAAACAAGCAACAACAACTGCCAAATGTTCTGACGTTGTTTATGCAGTATATACGATTCTCGCCCACCCCCTATTATCTTTATAATGAGAGGAACAAAAGGCACATTTGAAAAAAAAAATACAAAATAAAAACCATAGATACACAATAAAATCAGTGTTTTCGCTCTGTTGAGTAATATAATGTACTGTGTAACATGTAAATTATGAAAAAAATAAGGTGGTCCGAGGACACAGTTATCCGAGGACACAGTTATCGTCATTTGATTTTTCGAATATCGTTCCTAGTTTAGACAGTGTATAACTTGCAATTTTTCTTCCTACACTTTCCAAATTTATTTCTTTAAATTTTACGCATGAAATATCTAGTACGGGGATGAAATTACAGAGGGGCTTGATGGGGGTGTCTCATCACCATTCACGAGTTGATTTTTTTGTCAATCACGATTCACAGAAAATAAATTTCCATGATCACGGATCACGAAAATATAAAAAAAAAAAAATCTGTAGAAAAACGGATCACGTTAGCGAAAAAGCGCCGATCAGAACGAAAATAACCCATCAGGCCCCTCATTACATGTTTAAAAAATTTGCCGATGAATTTTTAGGTAAGTAGTAAATTGATTCAGTTAAAAAAGGTCCAAAATTAGTTTGTCTGAAAACTGAAATATAGACCCCCCTTAACATAGAATTATTCCTCTTTTAAGTTAAAACTAGAAGACTTTTCTTTAATTTGAATTGATTGTCTAAAAGAAATGCACTAATCTAGTACATTGCACTACGATGTAACTGTGTTCTGGGGTCAGGTGATGTGTTTATGTATTGATCTTATATCCCGGCGAACCGTGAATACTTCAGATCCACCGGTGTAAGATCAAAGATGACTTTGACTGTCAAGCGTGAACGTTGTATCCGATACACTGAATGACTTTAAAAAAGTAGAATTATTGATAAATTATATACCTGTAAAAGTTAAACTATGAATAGGGATATGACAGACGAAAATTTTGCACATGAACAAGGAATGATTCATTTCGATTTCTGGTATACATATATTTTGTTTGGTTTTGTAATTGTGTTCTTTTTTATACAAAATCAAATAATCAAACGTTATGGAAAACCAAACACATCAATTACAGTGTACGACTCCTGGTTATGGCGGAACTTATGCGTATCACTAACACATGGATTTATTGTTGGTATTTGGAGCATTATAAGGTATGATGTAACACGGTTAAGTCAGAAACGAGGCTTTTGTTTCATGTCACTTTATTTGAATACAACCTTGATACAAGTAATAGCTTTTCTAAAAAGCTAGCCGTCTCATAGCTGATTAAAGTGGAAAATGTTTTCTCTTTGTAGTTTAATTCGTTCAGAATTGTATGTAAATTGTAGTGGATTACAAAAATTATAAAAGGATTATACAATTTTTTAGATTTACCAATTTCTTTTGCGGAAAGTATTAACACTGGAAATGGAGGGGTAATGTCTTTTTATCGATTATTTTTTTTCAAACAGATATCGAAGTTGTTCGTTGACTTTTTCTTTGGTTGTTTGCTTTTTCGTTCGTAATAGACATCCAAAAGTGTAGAGAGTGAAACGTAGTAAAATTTAAACATATAAGAACACAATTAATATATTTCCAACGGTATCTCACATCTTTTCTAAAATGATCCTAAAAATGTAAAGCGTCACATATATGTATGGTTATTTTGCTGTCAATGAAGATTTTGTCTATTCATTGTAGTTGGACTGCAATGTGGAATGCCCCACGCCTCTCTTTCTATATTTGAATAATGAGTATCCTTAACAATTAAATGTTTCTTTTTTTCAGATTATTTGGTTTTATTTGACTTCTTGATTATATTTTTTGATGAAAAATACTCAGAGTCACTGAGTCGTGAGACGGGTAATTTGTTATATAAGACCTACTGTAAGGGCCTGAAATTCAAAACAGTAGTTTCGCCGCCATTCTTTTTCAAATTATAATGGACGTCGTTGGTTATAAAGAAGGTGATAAGTTCTGCAAAGCTATTTTAAGTTCACTATGAGGCCATCAACATAAGAGAATCAACAATTTTGACCAAAAACTTTATTAAGCATACAGCTTGATATTGTATCTTTTGTTATTGTTTTACTTGCACATCTTCATATTTATTTACTATACCATTTAATGTTGGATGACGAATAAGGCCCTTATCATACTTACCCTTAAAAGCTTGACATACTGGATTGACATAATATTTTGTCGGAGGCTGTTCGTATGTTGACATATAAATGTCTTTTTGTTTTATGATCATATTATATGTATGTTTATACTTGTTTTACAATTCTTGTAGAAAACATACAATTAAGAATAATCAGTAAACAGTATTTTCGTCTTTTAAATTTATAATATTCTTTTATTTCACTTTCTCTCAGATAGCATGTCTAGTATAAATAGTCAATAAACCTCAAAACAAACATTAGAAGTTTGTTCCTGACCCTGCTCATAGTTTCAAGTGATATCTGAATTATTTTTTGCTATTAAGATTATTTTTTGTAACAAAAAAATTGTTCCGGCGTGACATTTGTTCCGCCGGAACTTATTTCATAGGAAATATGTTCCACCGGAATTTATATCACAGAAAATTTATACCCGTAATATATATTATAAGGAAATATGTTCCAGCACTGTTAAATTTGTTCCAGAACTAATTGTTTTACTAAATGTTAAATAAGTTCCGTGTGTTATAGATTTACATGATGCATTAATTTTATATCAAGCAAAACATTCTATAGTTGTACCTGACAAATTTAATACTCAACATTGAAGTCTTTAAACAACACGAAAACATTCAAAATGAGGTAAATCTTTTAGAAATTCAAATTAAGTCAGCATATATATTGTACGTAGATAATATGATTAAAAAACAAATGCACAACTATGAATAACAACTGTAATAAATATTTAAAACACACTCTTTCATTTTTCTACAAATTTTGATATGAAGTAACATATGTTGAATTGCAATATTCATAAATTATAAATGATTGATCTATAAAAAAAATTCTGATGGATTTTTCTTATTCTTCGCTTTTCTGCCTCATTAAATTATTGTCATTTTGGTATTTTTTTATGGATAATGTAATAAAACATTTTGCTATACTCCACAGAATCCATATTGGATGTTTACACCTTTTATTCATTACATTATCAATATAATACATGTTTTTATAATGTACCTGAATTATAACTTTAAATTCACTGATAACAATTCTACATTTTTTCTACAAATTTTTATATGAAGTAACATATGTTGAATTGCAATATTCATAAATAAATGATTGATCTATAAAAAAATTCTGATGGATTTTTTTCTTATTCTTCGCTTTTCTGCCTTATTAAATTATTGTCATTTGGGAATTTTTATATGAATAATGTTATTAAACATTTTGCTATACTCCACAGAATCCATATTGGATGTTTACACCTTTTATTTATTACATTATCAATATGATACATGTTTTTATAATGTACTTGAATTATAACTTTAAATTCACTGATAACCATTCTACATTGGCTAGAAGTATACATGGTATAGGGGGGGGGGGGGGGGGGTTGAGATCTCAAAAAACATGTTTAACCCTGCCGCATTTTTGCGCCTGTCCCAAGTCAGGAGCTTCTGGCCTTTGTTAGTCTTGTATGATTTAAAATTTTAGTTTCTTTTATATATTTCGGAGTTTAGTATGACGTCCATTATTACTGAACTAGTACATATTTTTGTTTAGGGGCCAGCTGAAGCACGCCTCCGGGAGCGGGATTTTCTCGCTGTATTGAAGACCCATTGGTGGCCTTCGGCTGTTTTCTGCCCTTTGGTCGGGTTGTTGTCTCTTTGACACATTCCCCACTTCCATTCTCAATTTTATCGGTATAAAAGATAACTTGTATAACCAGTGGAACATATTTCACAGACAAAGAACTTATTTCATCAGGTAAGGAACAAATCTCACGGTCCATTGGAGAAGACCGTAGATTGAACTTAAGAAGTAAATTGTCACGTTTTGTTTGTTGCTTAATTGGGTTGCTGTCTAAATTAATTATGTATACTTCACATCTCCTTTAAAACCATTCATAGACATTAAACATTGCTTAAAATATGTAAGCATACATGTATAATTGCTTTTATCGTCTGAGAGTAGTTTTTTGTTCTTATATATTCCCTTTTAGATATATTTTTAGTCTTCTATTCTTCAACGTCTGCTATCTTGCTAGGAAGAGCTAGCTAGGTAGATCTAGACAACATCCAACTCAGCCCAACGATCTTGGGGTGTGTATAGGGCACTTATTATGTAATGAGTGGAAGGGATGCGTCGCTGGGATAGGTCACGGAAGCTTCATGATATTGCATGAGGTCGAGAAATTTAGGTGAAATATAAGACAAGGTTGATGATTGAATCTGAAACTAATCAGATATCAATTTTTTTTTACAGATGCAATTAAAATCACCAGAGATTGTGTATATATGTCTCTAAAATCACTTTCGTAAATGTTTTAAGATATTTGTCAAATCTATTTACTAGTATCTAACCATGAAATATAGTGTAACAATGATAGCTATGTGCAGGTATATATACTTATTGTAAAAAAATATGATAGCTAGGGTAACTACATGTATGTTCTTTTATCATTCAATATATAAAAAGGGTGGGGTATTGGATGTCTCAGCTGCTCACCCCTGCCATAGAAAGGTCGAAGTGCCGCCGCCCCCGCCCCCGCCCCCGCCCCCGCCCCTGAGATAAAAATTCTCGTGTAAATTAATATTAATCGAAAAGAAATTATTTGATATCTACGTTTTAAAATGTTTGTGTTGCCTTTAGATTATCTTACTGAGTATAAATAAATATAACATAAGAAAAAAGCATTTTCCTAAAAGTTTTCTTATGTTTTCACTTTTAAAATGTACGTAACTTGAAATAATCACGTGTGTGTTTACAAATCTTCAGGAGATTCGGCTATTTATAGATAAGTGTTACCTGCATGTGAACCGATAACCAGGCAAATCTATTTACTAAAATAAAGAGTTCAGATCCGACACTCTACGGGATTAAAAGACATTTACTAGGTTTGAATTGTCCCAACCAATCAACGAACTTTAATTATGACAGCGTCAGTAATATCTTCCAATCAGGTAGTAAGAAAGCTTTTAGCCCGCAGACTGTCCATCGTTCAACTCTTAATACCGTCTCCGAGGAGACGGTAATTATGTAAAGACGATGCTAGCTCAGGACAGACGAACTCACAATCCTGCGTTCAAGTTGTTGGTGTATAACATGTCGATTTGATGCGGTCTTTATTCATGATTGTAAGGTCACAGGTTCCAAACCATATAAAGAGATGAATGCTACCTATAAATCCGTTTATTTTACATTTAATGTTTTTCTCAAGCCATTTTCCAACTGTTTCAGTTTGTTTCTTATGGTATGCTGTTTCGCCAATGTACTAGATTAGGGTGCGAGTTGAGCTCACGCAAACATGTTTAACCTCGAAACATTCTTTAGTTAGGAACTTGTTATTTAGTGGTTGTTGCAATTGTTTGTTGCAGTTTATCAAATTTATTTTTTCGTCTTGAACATGCAAGACATGTTTGTCACCGATTGTTTTTTCGTCTTTTATTTATTATTGTGTTGTCTGTCCATCTCCTCGTGTTTTTTTCTCTCAGAACCTTGGTATTTTCTCTCAGAACCTTGATATTTTCCTATTTTAAAGAAAACATGAAATAAGATATGGAAAAAATGTAAAGAAAGCGATATGTGTATGATTGGAAATGAGACATGTATCCATTAAAGACCATAGGACAAAAAAGCATATATGTTCAGTAGTTGTCGTTTGTTGATGTGGTTCATAAGTGTTTCTCGTTTTTTATATAGATTAGACCGTTGGTTTTTCCGTTTGAATGGTTTTTACACTAGTAATTTTTGGGGTCCTTTATAGCATGCTGTTCGGTGTGAACCAAGGCTCCGTGTTGAAGACCGTACTTTGACCTGTAATGGTTTACTTTTATAAATTTTTACTTGGATGGAGAGTTGTCTCATTGGCACTCATACCACATCTTCTTATATCTATATATGTGAACAGTTATAGGTCATCGTAAAGCCGTCAAAAATGAGCAAACCGTTTACTGACCCACAGATTAACAAAATGTGAAAATATTCAAAAGAGAAAACCAATTATTACTACGACAATAAACGAAACACGATGTTTGCAGACAGAAACCATACATTTCATATTAAAAGAAAATTACACTGTTGAACACGTTAAAGCTTTCCTACAATCAAACATAAGTTTTAAAGGTGTTTACTATTGTGGTTGCTGTTGTTTTTATTGTCTTTTTTTTTGGATGCTCGGAATAGTTTTTGGTTAGTTTGCTTAGTGTTTCCTTGTAACTTTGCTCATGTAATGTAGTTTAAAAAAAAAGACACGATTAGTATATCATTCTTACGATGGATTCTCCATATTCCACAGTCTGACTAAAGCCAGCCCCCACTTTAATGCATGATCAAATCACTTAACACATTATTAAATGTTACAGTTTTGTGAGCACTGCCGTAGTTTCTGGACTGGAAAAAGTTAAATGCATAAAATCTAGAAAGACATTAGAAGACCTACGTGTAAAAGGTGACATAAACACTTATTGCAAACCAACTTATTTTCGCGGATACTTTATTTCGCGTTTGTGCCTTTTTCTAGCCAACTTTGCGGCGATTTAATTTCGCGATTTTCACATTTACTTGATGTAGTTTAATTAGAAGAGATCCAAGTTTGCAATATTCGGGACGATTTATATTTCTCTAATCGCAAAAGTCGTAAAAATAAATCGCTCGCGAAAATGAGTTAGTTTACAGTAACTCAAAGATACCATCATTTTTATTGGGTAAAGATTGCATGAAATGCAATCAAAACCCTAAGGTACTGATTTGATATCTAAATCTTCCAAGGTTTATCACTTCCTTTGAGATACACAAAATATAGTGCATTGATCATAACATTCTATACATCCTATCCATGAACATTTCCAGAAATTTATTAATGAAATATATGCTCAGATATTCAAGTCACACAATGATGTTATACTTGTCAAGACAATTACACAACTTTTGCAAGGTGCAGGAATCTTATATATCTGTTCTAAAAATATCAATGATGTCATTGAAACATTTTTTGAAATATTGAAATATTTTATTTCACTAAAGGCCTCACATGAGACATGATAGTACAACACTATAACAAATAAGAAATACTGCATGCACAAACATATTTACAAATGCATGAATAAATAGGAAGGTAAATATCATTTGTAAACTGACATTACAATTTTACAGAACTTAGCTAAGCCAACAAGAAAAAATTTATCTTTGCTGTTCATTAAATCAGAGAAACTCAAAGTATTCTTCACTTTACAAATATCTGCTGGTACAAATTTCAGCCGTTCAGCATTAAAGAAAGTACAATTATATATGGAATGAAATTCATCTCCTAGCACATTTCTGTTAAATAAATCACATATTCTTTCTGATCTATCAATGCTATAAAATCTACCACATTCAATAGGTAACCTATGACTACTGCACCTATATTTACACAAATTAGTTCTTAAATCAAAAGGCAATGTAGTTAAATAATCTTCAAAACCAAACTCAGACTTGTACATTCTATAATTTAAACATTTTGATGTATTAAATATCTGATCCTTCCATTCATTTACAAACAAATTGTGGTAATACTGTTTCACATTTTTAGACAACTTACAGTTTGTATCTATATATTGATTTTTCCAGGCATTAATAAAACCACATTCAGATAATATATCTTTTACACAATTCAACCACTTAGAGTGATATATATCACCAGAATCAAGTTTATATAGCATTTCATATAATGTACGAGAAATTTTCTCTTATTTGCCTGTAACAATACGTTTCCAAAACCAACCATTCTTGCCTTAATATTAACAGATATTGGTACTCTACCAAGTTCACCATATGCAATGCAATTAGGTGTACATTTTTTAACTTTCATTATATATTTACAAAATTCTTAATGCAATGATTCAATAACATCATTTTGCTCATACCCCCAAACTTCTGCACCGTACAAGAATATAGGGCCAACCATAGCATCAAAAAGTTGTAACAATACATCTATAGGTAAATACAATTTTCTTGCCTTACGTAATACATAAAACATTGCTTTTCTGGCTTGTTGAACCAGTTTAGATTTATTAACATGAAAAGTACCTTTTCTAGAAAATACAATACCTAAATATTGAAATTCATCAATAAAAAATAAACGGTCATTATTATATATAAAATGAACATTTTCAGCCTGTCGACTTTTAGAAAATATAACAACAAGGGGTTTTTGCAGTATTAACTTTAAGATTCCATGTTTCACAATATAAATACATTGCATTCAATGCTGATTGTAACTCAGCTGCGGATTCTACAAAAATGACTGTCGTCCGCATATAACAACAGATACAATTTGAAATACACTTCATTATCATCATTATCAAACAGTAAATGAGACGTATTACAAACATCATTCAGACCACTATAAGCATGTGACATAAACTCAGTCAAATCATTAAGAAAGTCATTGTAAAGTCATCTTTAAAAATTGGAGTTATCTTCCTTTGTCAAGAATTTTAGTTGAATCAACTACAACCAATGCTTTATACAATGCAATATTTAATTTTACTTCCCACTGATAAATCAAGGATCTTACTATATACATTCGTGGATAAATTTAAGCAATCTTTACCCTTCAGTGCTTACAAGCACTTTGATTGTTTGGGGTATTTTATTATGACATTGATTTAAACGGATATTTAGAATTTAAGATGGAGTGACATTAACCATAAAATATCAATTGCAATTTTAATGCACCCACCATACAAGCGGCTTAACCATATACCATTCGAAAGTATATCATCTTTACTGAAGTCAATCTTTTTTTGCCCGGTTGTCAAATATTCGTCCGGTGCAATATCCGTCAAATGGAAAGCAATTGTCAGGGACGGATAATTGCTTGATTTTCAAGATGTAAAAATGGTAAAAATTAGCGAATACTTGAGTGATGCTTATCAACAACCATTTCTCCATTCGTTTGTATCTACCTAATTCAGTAGAGATAGAATAAGTCAAATAGATAAGAGTTTATCCTGAGACATTGAAATATTGAATAACTAGACGGTAATCTTTCATTTTATTCTTTTTCCATGCAGTGCCATAAATCTGACAATCTTGCACATTTTGTCCGTTTAATGTGTAAATCTCTGTACCCGATTCTGGAGGAACACTAAAACGTAGCGGTAGTAAAGTTCAAACATGCTGAATCTATCTCTTAAGATTATTGTTTATTTAATATTATGTTTTAAGCTACATACATGAATTTGATTGAAATTTTTTTTTTATGTTACCTCCTTTACACTTCAAGGAATATCATTGCTTAAAAGCCAACTTGTGGGAGCCGTGTATATTTATTATTAGGTCACTCGGGCATGTTTTATTTTTAGTACATGGTCAGTAAGCGTGGTTTATTATGAATACACGGTTATTAGTAAAGTTACTCTCTTTTAAAACGAAACTGATATATTGTCCTCAAATAGACATAATAATTTTAATTTTTCATAGTTTTTGGACGAAAACATGTCTTAGAGACAACGACTTTCTAACTGTAGATAATTGAAAGTTTGTGTAATGTTGTGTTAAAATTGTATATAGGTGCCAGTAACCTAATACGATATAAACTGTATAAACGGGGCCACTTTTGCTCACTCTCGTCCCGTATGAAATTCACTGACTTTGCATATATATCGTTTTAAGGTCACGAGCACACGGTTTAACTACTAATATTTGTATAACTGTCTGGTGCACGATGTCCGCGTTGTTATAATTCACTCATTCAAAACGCTCTCTTTTTAGTACAGATTTAATGGGAAAATATGAACCTGTAACAAATAGAAACAGATCAATAGAAAGAAAAATGATATTTGTAATAATAATTATTACTTATTTGACAGTTTATCTTCGTCGTTTGCTTATTTTAGTTACTCATATTTTTACTTTACAGACTGCATGTACCAACTTATATATTATATAAAAGAAAATCGCTAAAATAAAAGAGTATTTAATTAATCCAAGTTATTTGGACTCTGTTGGAGAGTTGTCTCATTGGCAATCCTACCGCATCTCTTCTTATTTTATATTCATACTTGTAAATTTTAAATATTTTCAGCTTCCTTTATCATCATGAAGATCATCCGGGGCTTTTTGAAGATCCCTTTTTATTTTTCAATACATCTTCATTCTTGATGATGATAGTCTCAACAGGTAAGGCTAGTAAAAATATATAGTATTTATGAAACTATAATCATGTAGACATTTGAATTGCATATTAAAAAATTAATATTGGTAGAAACGGAAAAAAACAATATATTTTAATAGATATGAATATTAATTTTAAGATCAGATAATTAATAAATAATACTAAGGTCAATGGAAAACAAAACACAGACACACCAGCACGGTCAAATGCAAATAGACAAAAGACAAACAACAGGCCACAAAACACGACACTTAAGCTAAAAGTTTACCAACAAGAACGAACCCCATTAAAACTGGGGCGAAATTTGGTGCTGCCGAAGAGAAAGCTGTTCCAGCTCAAATTGTAGAACTCTTTTTATACTTGCCAAAGTCATTGTTATTCAAAGGAAAAAATCAAATCTCAAAGAGCATACAAGATAATGACAAGTACGCCAAAAAAAAAAACATGCACACGACTAAAAAAGAATAATAAAGCGACGAACATTATAGTGGTTATATCAGGTATCGAGCGTTAATTTCTATGCACGAGTAGCGGACTTGAAGTTTCCAGGACCTGCATATTTGTTCTTTCCAGAAGTCACTATATTTGGATTAAGCATACTCTGAACAATTTATAAACCAGTAACATATTTTTCATCACGAGTGATTTAAAATAGAGGTCAAAGACACCAAGGGGGACAATGCAAAATGATAAGTAAAAAAAAAACCATGGCAAAAATCGACAATCAACGAAAAGACAAACATCAGTTTGCAAAATACAACACAGAAAACAAAAGACTGAGCAACGCAAAACCAACCTAAAACTTTGGATGATCTCATGTGCTCCAGACGGGTAAGCAGAACCTGCTCCAAACATTGCAATCATGGTGTTGTTCATGGCAAATTTGTGATAAGGGAGCTACCATTTGATTTTTATGGGGGTGGGGGAGCTAGGATGAAATATGAAAAAAGACAGGACAGGATATTTGAGAAAAAAAGGCAGGATGAGCAACTTGGCAAAAAATGGAACTCTATTCGGTCCTGCCTTTTTTTTCAAATAGTTTATCCTGACTTTTTTTTTCCATAAATTGTCATCCTGCCTTTTTTTGCCAAGTTGCTCATCCTGCCTTTTTTTACTCAAAACTCCCTTCTGCCTTTTTTTCAAATTTCATCCTTGTCCCCCATAAAAATCAAATGGTAGCTCCCTTAAACGCTTGTGAAATGGCACATCAACATTTTCAGGAAAATGTGCACAGTTTTGTGTATTAAACATAAACGTGTCTTTGTTCAGAAGTTGTCGGAAAGAAGAACAGAGGAATGCATATCAATAGAAAAATAATTTCACAAGAGTGAAAGAAAAGAGGACAGACTAGGTTCCTATGAAATCTATTTCACGCTAGAGTCATTGAAAAAAAATCACAGTATAACAGCTGAATGTGTGTGTATTTGACTGAGAATCTAGCAAGTGCAGCGTATTTCTAAACATTTGATAATATTATAACGGAAATTATGTTAGAATTCGGTTAATTTTAAGTAGTTATCGTCCAAATGAAAAGGAGACATTCTAAACCAAAATTGAAATCATATCGAAGGCATTACTCTGTTTTGTCTTTCAAATATACTTTAACTGAATTATATTCTTTTGATGCAAAATTTACGAAAACATGACTGTTAAATATGAAATATTGATCACACTCATAACATATTTTGAAGAATTATATTCTTATAGTATATTTGTCATTTGCCTGCCACATTTTTTAAAGAAAAGGCTAGCATAACTGCAGAGGATTTGAAAATATATATACCGTTTTTAGATACAACGTATGCATATTAACTAGAGCCCATCTTGTAATTCAGCATAAAGTATATATGACACTTGATCTCCTTTTACTATTTACATAGTCAATATTCATAAAATGTGTACTTTTACTTCGCTTATCACATAATTATATATATAAAAAAAATTTCGTTGTTTAAAATCTAATTTCTATTCAAAACATAAAAATTCTTATTTACTAAATCGAAATTTTCATTCTAGATATTCGCACAACGCATTGTTTTCGACTTACCACTTTTAAATTACTTGTCTACGTTAAAAACTAACTACCATCATGTGTATATTAATGTTTATTTAAAACAAACAACTAGCAAAACAGCAAATAAATAGGAATTGAATTGTCCATTACCTGTGAAAACAACGTCAATTCGGCCTTACGTCTTTCGACGTTAGTTTCAGAATTTCAGAATTGGCGCAATGTAATCCCGCCAATTCAGATGTTTAACGTCTATTCAAAAATATCTCTTTTTCCAGTACGGTGACCCTTCGTTTTTATTTCCTCATTTTGGTTAATAACAAGCAATGCATATTCTATTGAATTTTTATCGAGAAAACATTGGTCAATTTGTTTTAAGCTTGATTTTTTTATAGATATTTCACCATAAAAAAGTCGGGAACATTATATTAGCAACTTATCGTTATCATTTGTCCCTCGGAAGATGATAATATCAATTATATAATTTCTGCTAACATCAAAATTAACAAAATAAACAATATTTATGTGATACAGACTTTTTATAAAATGTTACACTGCTAACAAGTGAAAGTCCCGATTTCAAAATTCCATGGCGCGTTAAATCGAAAACGAGGTCGGTGACCCCATTTTTGTATTTGCTTCACCTAACCTAAACTGAAAATAATATTTAAAGAAGATATTATTGGTAGATCTGAATAGAAGGATTTGTCTTTAATACTACAACCACTGGTTTACAGATTCCAAGATTTGGACGGAAACATGCATGTATAAAATGTGCATATTTGTGAGCGATCACCCTCCCACTTACTTGTCCACACTGTGAAGTGATGTAACTACACAGCATAGGAGCAAACTGTATATACTCTTAGTGGTTATTTATATATATATTTTTTTTTTCATTGTTTCAGCTTATTTCTATTATGATTCACTAGACATTTTAGTTAATAATATGTGGAAGAAAAATAAGGAAGTACTGCTACACCATTTTCTCGTAAGTTTATTAGTTTAAATTAAATAAAATTGAAATATTTCAGAGATTCAAGACTTATGAAGCTGCTTCAAAATATAATTGCAAGAACTTTAGTTTGTAAAAAAAAAATGATAAACAAGATCTAACGAGATATGGCTGTTTTTACTTTTGTTACAGAACGGAAAATATATTCAGAATTTTACCAAGTCTTATAATGTATGTGAAATTATTCTGATATTGCACTGATTTTTCTCTTTTATTTTTTGCAGATCTCTACTTCCTTTGTATATCTATGGCATGAGAGACATGGAATTGGATATGCACATTTATGCCTTCTAGCGGAATCCAGCAGCTTTTTTCTCCATGCCAGGAAACTTTTACGAATAGCTGGATTATCATCGGACTCATTAAAGTCCCGCATCCTTTCAATTATCAATGTGATTGCATTTCTTATATTTCGTTTAATTCCTCTAGGATTTTGCGTCACAAGGATTTATCCAGAATATTTTCTAATGCGAAGACATTTTGCGTACTTTAGTTTCCTGTCATTGTCCGTGATGATAATATTTTTAATTAATGTCGGATTCTTTATCAGACTATTAAATACAGATTTTATACGACGCAATAAGAAACAAAAATGACATATTATTATGTTTGTATCGGAACCTCGGCCAATGATAATCTATATTAATTACATACTTTCTTGATTAAGCTAAATTCCATAATTCATTCACTTTTAGTCATATATTTTGTATTTACAATACTTTAAAAGACACACGTATGTCTTAATTGCAATTTGAAGATTGGTCCAGAGCATTTCTGTTGCTTAATTTTCTGTAAAAGCCTTGCTACCATTTTAATATTACCTACTTTTAACTCCGGCGTATACAATCTTTTTGGCAGGGTAGATCTAGAACATTCTGGTACTCGGTCAAGTAAGAGCAATTGAAAGAAATAAAGTCAACCTTACAATCTGTATAATTTGGTGGAAAAATAACTGTTTTCGATGATATTGCCATGTATAGAAAACATAAAAACAATTTATTTTGCCACAAACTGCACCGGTGGTAAGCTTAATTTAACTTTTTTCGGTTGCTCTTACTTGACAGTACAGGAAAGTACTACCACAGAGTCTTTGCTAACTGTACAACAAAATGACGTCTTCAAGAAGTACCTGCAACAATATGTATCACGAAACAGCAGCAACATTACTCTCTGGTATCGTTCGCTGTACTTACGAATAGATTTTGAAATAACAACGTCATACACAAGCACAAAATACAAGTTTGGATATTGGCAGAGATGGAATGAATTTTAATATTAAAATAAGAAAATGAGTTGTTTGCCGATGAGACTACTATCCACTAGAGACCAAAGGACAAAATGAAAACAATCATAGGCCAACGTATGGCCTTCAGCACTGAACAAACCCGTACAATATAGTATAAGCTAAACAACAGGCTTCGGCAAAACAAAATGTAAAACCATATATAATGCCATTGTGCACCTCTTTTTTTTAAAGGTCCGAATCATTTAGGGTGTTCCCTAATTAAAGCATGAACTTTGCCATTGTTTTGTTTGGGAGTACCAATTTGGATCCGCATCTCATCCTAAACCCCTTATTACAATTCAATCTTATAACCATAATTATAATGTTTTTGTTCACCTCATATTTTGTCTTTGTTCATAATTGTTTTTTGGGTTTCCTCACCAAAGCAAAGACTTGCCATTTCTTTGTTGAATTGGGGGATGGGGAAGGTACCAATGTCGTATCCGCAACTTCTGCTTAACCTTAACCCTTATTACAATTTATTAAAATCAATATTGGTACTCGTGTATTGTCTTTGCCTTTGTAGTAATTTGCATTACAGTTGCAAATCGACAAATCAAACATAATGAAACACCAAACAAATCTTCGTATTCAGTCTATGACTCGTGGTTATGGAGAACTTTAAACAGTATCATATCCGCATTGATTGGTGGTCGATATTTAAAGTGCTAGTATAATAAGGTACTTTGAGTAGGTTGAGTTAGAGTTACATTTTATACAAAAATTAACTCTATATTTCTAATTCTATAAGTATATTGCGTTAAAAAAGTAGGTTATGACAAATCTATTTTCGCTGATAAGAAAGGGGTGGGGGCGTATGAGGTGGCTTCGATGATTTTATATTAGCTCTGCTCTATTTAGATGAATATAATTATACATGTAGCAGACAAAGATAAATAATCCATTTTCATTTCAGATATTAATCTAAAATCAAATTTTTTGTAAAAAATGATTTTCATTTTGATGTTCTTAACACCGTCTACCTCTCTCGACTTAAAACTAAAAACTGTAGAATATTTGAGGCAACAGTAGTTTACTGATGTTAAAAATGCGTCGGGATTAAACATGTTTTATAAGAATCAGGCACAAACAATTAGGTGAGCCTGAACACTTCTTAGATGAGTTTAGATAATACATTCAGTGTAACATACATGTCATGTAAGCATCCTGAATACTAGTAAAGTTTCTCTGACAAATTTGTACGATACTGTAGATACTTTTCTTTTTATTCAACCAAATGAAACTCTGCCTTGTTTCTGCGCGTAAGAATCATGTGTCTTCAGCAGCTAAAATCAGATTTCTTTGTGAGCAATTTAGTGCTGACTTAAAGGATGAAAATAGTATTGCGTTTTTGTTTTTTGTTGTTTTTTTTTTTTTTTTTTGGGGGGGGGGGGATAAGGAAGAGGTAGGTAACAGTGAAAACAGTGAAAGTTTTTAAGCTTGGAATAGTTTTGAAATTCTAAAATTGTTGATAAAAAATAATTTGATGCAGATGCTCAAGAACGATTTTATTACTGCAGATGATAATTTTACCATAAAAACATTTTGCAAGAGTGGCACGGAGTTTCTTGAAGATTTAAAAGTTGTACTTTAAAATAAAAATGTATCTATTAGCTATTAAGCATGACTTGCTATATCTTTAAGATTTTTTCACCATAAAATTTTTGTCTGAACGGTTGTCAGTTTTTTTTTCGAGAGTTCAATAGAACACTTAAAAAAATATTTCACTATTTTATGGAAGGGCAGACTAGAATTTGTCAGAGAATGAAGACGAGATAACCTAGATAACACTAACAGAAATAAGATTTTTAAAGTTTTGCATTTTATAATTCCAAAATAAAGTCTGTTGTCAAGGATTTTTGACAAAGAACTAAGGGAAAGGGAGTGAACGATGTCTCCTACTTTTCTATATTTAAATATATTTCATTAATAATTAAATTTGAAAAAAAATTGTTAACGCGTTTTCTTGTTATTCTGCTGACAAGCTGTTTGGCAGCCACCAGTAGATCCGCCCAGCCGCCCGCCGTATGTCACCATTTTAATAACCGATATTTCCTTCGAAAATCCGGTTAAAAATAAAATATACCTTAATTTTAATTGAAAATAAGTGAAAAATGAGTGAACGGAAAAAAATACCAGACTAAGAAATACACTTTTATTTAAATATTGGTAATATCACGAAGCTTTTAAGTTTTGTGTGTCAAACTCTGAAGTAATTAATCGTTACTAAGGTATTTCACTTCACCCATTTATTTCATTATTTGATACTGTAAATTCTTAGTATTATTATATTAACATGTAGCCTTTATATGTATTTAAAAAAAAATCGAATCTAAAGCCAGATATATCAAACATTTTGTTTTTTATTTAAGCGTTTTCAGGACAAAACAATCAACTCAAACACGCCTTGAAAGTAAAATACGTACTCGACTGTCTCTTTACGATAAGATAATTGCCCATTTTTAGACCCCCCCCCCCCCCCCCAAAAAAAAAAAAAAGATGTTGCCGGGGGTGGTTCAGAGATTCGTATATGTTTTTTTTCAGTTGAATTTATGCTTGTGTATATTAAAAATCCAGAAGTATATGCACCTACCGAAATCGGTTGTTTTGTTAAATGTGCCTTTAATTTCAAAAATTAAAATATCTCGTATCTTCATTCTACCAATTGAGTATAAACAAGTATATAAGATGCAAAAAAATCTTGAATTATACACCTACATTTAACTTTTAAAAGCCATAAAAGATTAAAACAATCCAAACCTACACACTTTACAAAACTGGTTTAATTTCAACTGGTTGTCAACCCGTTTCGCTATTATCTCACCTGTGTTGAGGGGCCATGTGAGCTACATGTATTGACTTGGCGTCCGTAATTACAAAAAAATCTTTTCTGAAATTACTTGACCAAATGTTATCAAATGATTTTTCAAGAGTGAATCTAGGAAAAACAATATTCATCTACAAACATGACCACTATCTGTTAAAATGTATTCGAGTTTTTAGTTTATATCGCAAAAGTTCAAGCAGTTAGAGCAAAACTTACCGAGTAAAAACATTCAAAAGGCCAATGTCTATCTACTTTGCACTTTTCAGAAAATTCAGATCAGATAACGAAACCTGGTCCAGCAGCATTTATAAGCAATATAAGATTTTGACCCACACAGATATTCCTGTTACAACGAATCATTTTAAATGCAAAAATACCAGTTCCAGCCTTTAGTTTGTTTATTTATATATGTATATGAATATAATTATGAAAGACAACAGGGTCACCAGGGTGTGAAGTCCATGTCATCAGAAATAAATATTAAGCATAGATCTAGAAATCGATAGATAGTCATGACATTTGAAAAAATTCTCTCTTGTATTCGAAGAGTTTGCAGTTGTGTTTTGCCTAAACAAATTGACACACAAAATGAATATATTAGTATTGTGGAATTTTTTAATAATGTTCAATACATTGGTAACACCAGTACTAGGATAATAATCCTGTCACGTATGAATTGGGTAAAATATTTCAGAAAACAAGATGGAAATGTGACAGTTAACGTGCGGTAGGTGCAACAGGATACCGACAGCTTACATGGCTCGTCAGGGTGGAAGCTAAAAAGTGGATCAAAGTCCATGAAAATTTGATTTAAAACATTTATTCGTTCCAACAAAGTTATTGAGATTTTGTTGAGGATTTGACCATTTATGGCAACAAGAAACTTTTTAGAATTTAATGCAAAGAAGGTTTAAAGTCTTTCGCCAAAAAATACTATCAATTTCTTCTTATCCTATGTTAACTTCCATGCAATCTCCATCCCTTCATGATCATTAAATTGAACTGTAAAATATTTCTTAGTATCTTTCGAATGCCTTTATAATGTCTGATGTATACATAATTATGACAATAACTGTTGTAAGCACAAGATTCACTGCACACTTTTAAAGTTCTGCTTTATCAAACATTAAAATGTACTGTGAACTGAAGTTTTGCGAAATTTTTTGATCTGTACGATTGAGATTTTATCTAAGAGAACATGGTTTATCTATAAGTTGAAAATGCGGCTATGCACTAGCTTTCAATAGCTGCGAGTATTCGTTGTTCAATAATTTGTGTCTTAATGTTTTTACTTTATGTGCTAAATTGTTGTGTTGTTACACCACTTTACCAATAAAGGAGGAAAGGAGGAGGGGTTGGTTGGGTGGAGGTGGGGAGGGGTGTGTAGAGCGCAAACAAACATGTTAATGACTATGCGGTATGGGCTTTGTTCATTGTTGAAGGCCGTACGGTGACCTATAGTAGTTAATTTCTGTGTCATTTGGTCTTTTGTGGAGAGTTGTCTCATTGGCAATCATACCACATCTTCTTTTTCTATATGTTAAGCCCTGTCAAGAGTGCCCAAAACAAGTGATTGTCGATGGTTGCTTTCTGTCATATTTGTATTTAAATGGTTCAAAGTTGTAGTTAAAATCAGGCCGAAGGTATTCATTTTTTAATCGTTTACATTTTTATAGCTAGTATTCGTTATGGTTTTTGCTCGTTTTTGAAGGTCATACTTCGAATCGCAATTGTTTACATCTTGTTCCATTCTAGTTAGTTTTTATCAGTCATGTTTGAAAAGCAAGTCTAGGTAGGTTTTTTTTCATCCAGTCGAAGTTTATTGGAGACAGTGTATATA